AGAGGGGGGGGGGGGGGGGGGGGGGGGGCGCACACACGAGATAACCTTTCGGGTAGCCGGCCCGCAACACCTTCAGCCACCTCCGTCGCTTGCTCTCCTCGCTTCTCTTCGCCCTTCCTCCTCCTCACCAACTCCCGCCGCCGCCGCCGCCGTCATCCCTGGGACAACCGTCCACCGCTCCACCCCGTCGGCAGAAACGACGCAAAGCCGGATTACTCCCCCCGAAGCTCCGTCTCGCCTGACCGCCATCTCCAGGGCCGTCCGTACGTGAGAGACGCACTCGTCCCTGCACCGACCAACCAACCAATGCACGCACGCGACCACGTCGACAAACAAAGTGCTCTTCTTGTTAACATGTTGTTAAGAGCCTGCTCACAGCGACGAGTGCTCTTCTCACTCGAAGCAAACGAGCGCTCTTTTCGCAAAATGTTGGTTTGTGAGCGTACTTATCGCAACAAGTGCTCTTCTTGTTAAATGTTGCTGTGAGTAAGCTCACAGCAGCAAGAGTTCGGCTTGATTTCTAAATACCCTGCAGTCTCCTCCGTCCGTCCCGGTACAGTAACACGCGAGTTCCCGGCGTGCAAAACAAGGTGCTAAAAGAGTATCATACGAACAACAGTAGTGCGGCAGGTTCTTTGTACCTTCCCAAACCAGGTCTCAGGTTATCGTCGCAGTAGCCCAGGGCATACACCGCGCCGGAACCGCTCACAGCGAACGGTTGCTCGAGGAGAGAGCCGCCCTGCCAAAGAGAAAATGACAAAAAACGAGTAAAAAACGTGCAAATAACGAGGCAAAGGAACAACAAAAAAAAGTAAGTACTCCAATATTGTTTTGTTTTCGCCATGTCCCTCCCCCTCCCCCCCCCATCATCGGTCAATAACTACGGCATGCGTTTACACGAATCACCCCCCCTCCCATCAACATACAGCCCCCCAATTTCACCCCTCGGAGCCCCCATCGTACCTGAGGCACTGAGAAAACGCTCCCACCCTCTCGCGAGTCCCACCCCGCGCAGATGATGCCAGCCGAAAGCTGATCCTTGTTGGCGTAGCACAGGTTGCGCGTCGCTGTCGCGGCCGCTCGAACCGTGGGGTAGCGGCCGAACTCTGTCCTGTAGGCCTCGAGCTTTGCCTCAATGACGCCCGCGACAAACTGGGTATCTGCGCGCCAAAATCCCCCCCAAAAGAAACAAGGTGTTCATGGGGGGGGTGGATGGGCAAGGGCGTATGTAGGCGCGCGTGGATTAGAAAGTGTTGAGAATGAGATTGGGAGTGTTGAATGTCTCCTGGCGTGCGAGATTGCGAAACCTTTGGTCCACAAAACATCTTTGGCAGGAACGGCGGGACGTGGGGGTCGGTAGGGGCAACAGGAGGACTATGGAGTGTTGCTGGGCATGGGCGGAACGGGCTGGCGGCGGAGGCGGTGTCGCCAGCTATCTACGAGTGCTTGAAAGCACAACGGGCTCCCGTCAACAAGAGCTTAAATTTTCAATGGGCCAAGGCTAACATAGGTCGCACTTTTCGGGCACAAGGCAAGTGCCATGTTCAGTCTTGAACTGCAAACATCGGCAAGTCCTGGGACACAAACCACGCGCGTGTGGTCATCATGCTGCCGTATCGACCGCCTGTGTAGCCCCCCTCCACACCGCGACACTCGCCAGACCTATCCGATCCCTACTCGGAAATTGGCACCGCAGCTCGCCTCGAGCAACCGTGCTGGTCCTCTATTAAAAGAGATTTCTCGTTGTCTTGGTGTCGTTGTCGTTATGCGGGACGGTTCGTAACGACGACGTTTTTTTTGTCACGAAGAAAGCGGACTACTCCATATCCGCTCCCTGTTCAAAGAACAGGGCTCTTCGAACGCATCAGCCTGGGTCAAAGAAAACTTTCGCACGCGCACCCCGGGTCCGCTTTCTTGGGCTCCACGGAGAGGCTTGCCTCTGGGGAGGGAACCAGCATTTTTTCCTTGAGTATTTTATTTTATCTAGGTCACTTACTGTTGTGCGTCACGAACCGACTAAGTAGGTCGCTGGTGCACTGCGGCAGCGGGGCTGCCCAACCTCAGGAGCATCAGTTGTCCATCGCCATACATTTGGGGAAAACAATGTGTAGCTTGTTACTGTAGCAGTGCAATCGCGCTCTATCTACGACGTATGCATAGGTGCTTCGGCAGCGGGGCTGCCTAACCTCACAGGCACGAGTCGTCCATCGCCATCCCCGGGAACACACGCTAGATTGTTAGCACACTAGTAGCAACGTAGCAACGCGTTGGGGGCTCCACGGCATGGCGTGGTACGGCGTCGTAGGGCCCGATGCATGGCCACAGCAGTAACGAAGTCGCGTGTTGTTCCCAGGGATGGCGATGGACGACTCATGCTCGTGAGGTTAGGTAGCTTCGCTGCCGCAGCGCACCAGCGGCGGTCTACTTCGTAGAATAATATTTAGCGGTGCTACTGCTGTGAAGACGGCGGCCACGGGACTGTTAGATTTAACAGCTTGCCACCCCCGTTTCGGTGCACACGGGGACGGGGCATAGATACCCACGTTGATTTAATCTATCTACACGTCACGCGGGGACCTAAAGTCTAGATTTGGCGGTAAACCATGATGGTAGGCAGTGCCAAGAAAACGGAACGCGCGTCACGTGACTGCTGTAGAAGAAGCTGCTGTGCTCCCGAGATGCACAAGCCAAGATCACATCATGGACTACATATGCGGAGACACACATGGCATATCGAGATGCATACCTCTGTTGTTCTACTGTACACACATGACGCAAAATACGTCGATGCCGCCGCTGCACCCTCTGTTCCTTACTAATGATGCGCATGCTATCCGAGCGCCCTCTTTGTTACAGCAACCCATGTATGTGGATTTCTCTCTGCTGTCTTATACTGCTGTACCATCGACTGATCTCCGTTGCATGTCCTGAAGATACAATCACACGCAGATGTAGCGCAGCGGCAGTAGCAGTTACCGCGGGTGCTTCATGGTCTTACGTACCCGCCGAGCTGCCCGAACGAGCGAGGAATACGCCCGGGGACACCGGCGTGATCTTGTCCGTGCCACTGTTCGCCACGAAGCTCCCCTGGCTGGTGCGGGAGTCCGCCCCGATCACGACCCCTCCGTCGAACCTGGCGGCGACGAGCGTGGTCGCATCGACAAGCCCTGCTGCCGCCACGAGTAGAGCCAGCGCTGCTGCTGCGAAGGCGGACAGCATACCTCTCTGCGGTTGCCAGAGGAAGGGATGCATATCCTCCTCCTTTTTTTTCCCGTGTGTTTCCCTACTGCTTGTTGGTCCCTCTGTCGCTTGTTGTCCCTGCTGCAGGCCGAGCGCACGCAGCACCTGCGGCAGGGGGGGGCACGCGGCTGGGAAACGCCGGCCGGCGGAATAGATACCTTTGGCCAGCCCAGCGAGGGTTATAACTTTGTTCCTTCGAGTTTGTTTTTCACAAGTACAGCACAAAAAGCCGGACGAGCACAACGTGTGTAGCACGTCTCCACAGGACTTCTTGCATGCTCTCTTGTAGCCGAGGTGTCGCAAAGGGTGGGAGGCTGCTGACAGCCTCGTCCACCCGGCCTCCCCCCCCCGCCCACCCGCACCAATCGTCCTTTTTACGGGGAGGGTTTTGGCGAAGCGCTGAGGCTCCGGTTGTTGCGAGCGAGAGCAGCAGCAGCTTCGGAGCTTCTTCTGCTAGTCATGTGCGAAGACGCGCTTCAACGGCGGCAGCGGCAGCGGCGGTCTCCGCCAAAGAGGAGGCTGCATCGGCGTCTTCCCCTTCGCCTTACGGCGGCGGCGCTGGCGCCGTTGCAGCGGCGGCCGCGGCTGCGGGCGTGGCGGCTTTGAGTTTAGCGGGAGACGAGCGGGAGGAGACGAGAACGAGTTCAACAGCAGCAGCAGCAGCAGTGGCGAGAGGAGGGAGGACAGCGGCATTAGCAGGGGTCGCGGCGTCGTTGCTCCCGAAGCCGAGCGTTGCGGAGTGCGGGGGCCAGCGAAGGATTCAGGACATGTATCGAATGGTGGACAGCCCCATCGGTCAAGGTAATAATAATGCGTGCGTCTCCTCCGGCGACATCGTATGTTTTTTTCAAAAGAAAGAGGTGTGCAGGCATATTAGACTATGACATGATGCAGAGCAGAGTGTTTTTTTTCGCGTCACGCCTCGTTTTGTTCCCTCTGGTTGAATAATCAGCTGACGTCGCCTACCGTTGAAGTGCCAGGCACGTCAGTGGGTCGCGACACGCACGCCCTGCCCTGCCCCAGAGGGCCGTAGCCCACCCCTCGGCGGGAAAGGCTCCCTTGCCCCGACCCCCTCGCGACTGCTGTAACTGAGCAATACGACGTCGAATCTAGATTTTACCTTTTCATCGCAGCATCATCACGTACGCACGAAAATTCTGTCCACGATATGACACCGCCCACGTGGTTTTTTGAGTGCCCAATAGCCAGCGAGCACTCAAGAACTAGAGTGCATCCCACGCGCGCTCTCGCGGTCTTTGTGTGGTACTTTGCTTGCTATTGTTTTGTGCGAGAGCCGCCGCCCCCGCGCGCACACGTCTCTGAGTCAGCAGCATCGGACCCGCTCACCCCTGTCTTGCCTCCATGCGGACGCTTTGCCCTTCCCCCCGCGCGGGGGGGCGTTACACGAGACATGACAGACGCCGCCAATTCTAGAAACGAAATCACAACTTTTTTTGGGAGAGAGAGAGAGCCAGACTTGGTGCCCAGACAACAGATTCGAAAAGGAGACAGAGAGGCCTCCCACGCCCCCCCCCCCTCCGCTCTTACAGTTACGCCCCTCTCGTTTGGGGGGGCGGCGGCCACATGCTCTATGCGGGGGGCGTTGTGCGAATTACATTGTCCGTGAAGAGATGTACTACGCATACATTACGGAGGAAGAACGAAAAAAGCGTTGTCCGAAGGCGAGAAGTCGTGTGTTGGCCACACTTGTTGGAGCGAACGGTTTGGGCAACAGGGGGGATGACAACCATCATTTTTTTTCAAACCTGTGTCCCGTGCGTGTGTGTGTTTGTGGGTGATTTGTTTTACTGCCTACCATGGCCAGCTGGCATCAATTGAGTCATTGGCATGTCTCGGGGACCTGCAACAGCAGGCTTTCCTGGTACATCTTTTGCCTGATTCAAAAACATGCTTGCCTCATGTTGTTTTGGGCGCGTCGCAACTACAAGTAGACACCTCTGCTGGGCCAGCTGTCCCTTCTCTCCCACGAACAACACATGTTCCGAGAAAAGCCCGGCCATGCATGATGCTTTGCAGAAAAGCCCCCCCCCCCCTCCTGCTGCTGGTGACGACCATTGCCCCCGCGCCCTCCCCGTCCTTTGCTCACGCAGTAGGTCCTTTCTCAACCCTTTGCGGGATTGCTAAAGGTAGTCTGCGTGAATAACGATTTACTGTAAGTGAGTGTCGACTAACCTGCTCCATCCTCCCGCCCACGGAACGTCATCCTCTGCGTCATTGAAGTAGATGTTGCATGATCCCGTAACGCCTTTATAGCTAACGTCTCTGTTGAACACGCATCACAACTCATGTCTGGCAACGTTTGACGAGAGAGGTACTTTGTCTGACAGATTTTGTCGGCCCACGTGTTGATTTATAGTAGTTGGTGGGTGAACACAAAACTCGTGCCCCGAGATCAGCTTGTCTTGTGTGGCAAAAGGGGCAGGTCGGGTAAGCGGTTGGGTCCCTCGCTACGCCTCCTACGACTTGTCGTGTGCATGCTTCACTGCTAATGCTGCACACACCTACACCGCGGCAACAAATATCTTTACCCAATCCATGTCATACCTATGAATCGTTTGTCGAGGTGTATTGTACAAGTATCTTTCACGCACGTACGGTAGTCATGGAGACTATACTCCGGTTCGAGATAACATATCCCAATCGTTGCGTTATGCAGCCCGTACATTACTCTTTTGCCCCCTCCCCCCCCTTTTCTGGCACGAGCATTGGGCTACTTGTAACTTGTGTCCGATTCCCTCTTCCATCTTACCATGTACCCGGCCAATGAAAACCCTGCGGGGAAACATCGACTAAATACTACCGGTACTTTACTTTTGCCGGGTCGGGTACTGTAAGATCATCATGGTTGAATGGACCCACATCACTACTTCCTCCTGCGATTTCTTGTCTTCACAGCATCAATCTTCCTCCTGCTCTTCTTGCCACATAGTCTTGAGCCGCTCAAAACCTTCGTCGTGCTTATCTTGCACTGCTGTTGCTGCTTTCACGCCGACCCCTCACGCAACCTTACCCAACCCAACTCCGACGCCCTCTTGTCGTGGCGTCCAGGAGCTTTCGGCGTGGTGTGCGCGGGCGTACACAAGGTTACCGGGGAGGTGGTGGCGGTGAAGCAGATACCTCGCCGGCTCATGTCGACGCCGCGGCTCCAGGCGGAGGTTGACATGCTGCGGATGGCCGGGCAGCACAAGAACGTGGTCGGTTTCCGAGATCTCTTCTCCGACGACAACTTCTACTACATCGTCATGGGTAAGGGTCGGTGGTTGTGTGTGTATGTGTCCCTGTTCTACCCCTCATTTTTCCCTCGTCTCCGTTTGTGCGAATCTCAACATTAGCGTCACACACGCCCCCTGCAAGGTTTCACGTGTCGCTCTGATACTGTTCTTTTGTCTCCTCCTCCTCCTCCTCGCAGCAATCGCCGCCTCTTGACCATGTGTAGTGTTCAGGATGAAAATAATACCGCAACAGCAGCCGCTTGACTATTTTTACGTGTATGTTCTCTGTACGCCCACCACAACACCGCGACAACAGAGTTCGCCACCGGAGGAGAGCTGTTTGACCGGCTCGTGACAAAGGGGGCACACAGCGAGCACGACGCCGCGAGCCTCCTGAGGGAGGTGGTGGACGCGGTGGCCTACCTGCACGGGCACTCGATCATCCACTTCGACATCAAGCCAGAGAACATCCTGGTGAGTTCAATGTGTTGTTGTTGTTGTTGTTGTACTCACACTTTTGAAATCGTATCGCAGCGTAGACTCGACAGGTTCCTCGCCACTCAGGGTTACACGTCCGTCATGCGAGAGGGTGTGCGTAGGTTATGCGATGCTGTTGTCGGGCACGCATTCACTACAAGTATAATTTTGTTTGAAAACCTCTGTTCATCCGTCCCCCCCCCCCTGTGATCGCACGGCATTGTCTGCCGTTGTTGGCTGGTTGCCTATCGCCCTCGTTGGCCGTGTGTCTCGCTGTCCGCTATACCGTAGCTCCACGATGCAGATACCGACGACATCGACGTGAGGCTGGTGGATTTTGGGTCGGCTTTCGTCGTAGGCGCGACTGGAGAGAGCGGTCCCAAGAACGATAGCGGGACCATCGCGTACAGGTGTGTGGATGGACTACCGGGGGATATCGCCACCAGGGGAAGATAGGATGACCGACTCCCCCCTCTTTTCGTTCCCACGATATGATGAGACAACCACGTCTCTTTTTGCGGAAAGCCCGTACAGTATTGTAGAACAATAGCGGTCCCAAGAACGATGGCGGGACCATCGCGTACAGGTGTGTGGATAGACTTTTGTCGTCACGATACCATGTGATGACCGGCTCTTCCCTCTCTCCTTCCCCCATTCAAATGGAATGAATATCCGGTTCCTCTTTTCGCGGGAAGCCCGTATTGTAGCAGTCCCAAGAACGATAGCGGAACCATCGCGTGCAGGTGGTGTAGGTCACCTCGGGTATGTTGTCAAGCGAGGGGGAGCGCAAGGCATCGTCCACTCTTCGCCGCAAAACTCTCTCGTGAGCAGGCCAAGACTCGCCGCCCTATGTATGACCTCGTGCTTTTGACTTTCCGCCCCCCCCCCACCCCCCTCGCAGCGCGCCCGAAGTCCTTCGCGGGCAGTCAGTTAGCACGGCGGCGGACATGTGGAGCCTCGGGGTAGTGCTGTACATCCTGCTCAGCGGCTTCCACCCGTTCGACCTCGAGGGTGGCGCGAATGACGCTGACGTCAGGAGAAAGGTTCTGGCCAGAGAGCTCACGTTCGAGTCTGCTCACTGGTCCGGCAAGGAAGGGGCGGTGGTGAGTGGGAGGGGTCGTACTTTCATGTTTTGGATGCCTTAGCGGGTAGACGATTGACCTCGCATCCCTACGAAGCCGGGACGGAGCAAGCCGAGTTTTCACCGAACCAGGGGGGGGAGGGTACTCATGTTTTGCTTGCCTTTACTTGTTGTTAGGCCGTTGGCCACGCGTCCTCAAAATGAGGGCTAGGGGGAGAAGGCTTGATGGTTGGCGGGGGCAGTGATGGGTGATGATGAGGGTGGTTGTACAATACACACAGACAATCTGATCCAACCACGCACCGTCACGCGTGTCGGTCATCCCCCTGTGACGCCATCAGGCTCTTATCAATGTACAACCACCCACTCTCTCTCTCTCTCTCTCTCGATGCTTGCCTTACCTTACCTTAATTTGTGTGTGTGTGCAGGACCTCATCAATCAGCTGCTGGACTCGGACCCCAAGCGCAGGCCCACGGCCGAGGCCGTACTCGCGCACCCCTGGATGCAGAAGACGGCCAACCTCAGCCGCCGGCCGATGGTCCACGCCGCGGAGAACCTGAGGGGCTTCCACCGGGGACGCATGCAGCTGAAGGCGTGCCTGCTGGCGGTGATGTCTGGGCTGGCGAGCCCCGAGACGTACGGCCACGACCCCAAGTCTACGGTCGGCAGCCGGACGGGGGCTTTGAAGTGGATGGACCAGGATAGACGTGGAAGGAAGAAGGTGTGCGTGCTTGCGCGTTTGTGTCTTTACTTTTGGTCTCGTGAGATGGACTCTTGTTCTGCCTGTGAGATGACACTACTTTGCGGGTTTGCCTCTTCTTCTCTCGCTTTGCTGACGCCGTTTTTTTTTTTTTTTGTTATCGACGGGTGTTGGTATTGTTCTGTCACCAAATGAAAATGAAAACAGGGTTACCTGTCGGCCGCCGATCTGGACAAGGCGCTCAAGATGCTGGGGGAGAACCTGAACGATCGGGTACGTGAACAACCAAGGAACTGGTCTCGGTCTCGGTCTCGGTCTCGGTCTCGGTCTCCCCTCCCTACGCCACTGTTTTCTCGATCGCGTACTTTCTCTCTCGCACCCCCCCCCCCCCCTCTCCCCCGGAACATACGCGTCGTGTCGTGAGCGGTCATACTTACGTGCGCATGCATGCCCTTGGTACGTTTGTTGGGTGTTCGACTGCGCTCCTACGCCCCCTACTACAGGAGATCCTGCGCATGATGCAGGCGTCTACTGGCCACCCGGGCACCGAGCACGCACCTCGCGTCATGTACGAGGACTTCATGAAGCTCGTGCCTCCGCTCTGTCCGTCACAGGTCTTCAAGGTACGAGGAAGGGGACGGATGGGTGTGGGGGGCGGTCTGTTAATTGGCTCGGGTCGAGTCTCGGTAGTGTCGTTGGCAAAGGGCGGCTCTTTTGTTAGGCTGGACTCGAGTATTTTTTAGTGTCGGCGAAGGGCCACTCTGCTGTCAGGCTCGACTCGAGTCTCCGCAGTGCCGGCAAAGGGCCACTCTGTTGCTAGGCTTGAGTCGAGTCTCTTACAATAGCGTTGTTGGCAAGAAGACACAGGCGGCTTTTTCGCCCTCCGGCGGTAAAGCGAGGTTGGGTTTGGTGGCCTGGTGAGCAGGACAAGGAGGGGTTGGTGTAGTGCGGTGGCGGCGGCGGCGCTGCTAGCTGCTAGCTGCTGCCGCTGCTTGGGCCACCACGAAAACGCCCCGCTGACGCCCTTCATCCTCGTAGAACGCGCATAGCGTCAAGTGCCTCCGGCCGAGTAGTACCTTCGTTGCCTTCCAACGCGTGCTCCCCTTTTCCGATCCCGTCCCCATTTCTGCCCGTTTTCACGCATGCGGCTGTTTTGGTTCAGCCGCAACAGTCTCTATATTGGAACTCGTTTCTTTTTAACTGTATTGGAACTCCTTTTTTTTCTTCATACATGTAAACATCCCCCCCCCCCCTATTTTCTTCTCATTTTCTCTGTTATTCTGTGGTTTTTCCTTGCCGAAAAAAGGGGGGTGCCACGATCTACACCGAGGGCGAGATCGACCGTAACTTTTACCTCATCAACCAGGGAGAGGTTCTCCTAGAGGTCGAAGGCGTATCGGCGAAAAAGAGGGGACGGCTGTGGGGAAGGTGAGGTGTAGGAGGATGGATGCAAACTTGGAGCGAGTGCTGCCCGAGGGGAGGCCCGTGTGGAAGAATGCTGTAATGTTGCAAGCTGTGGCAGATTTGGGCTGCGATTGACTTATTTTTTGTCTTGTGATGTTTGCCTGTTTGTTGCGCACCTCTCCCCCTGTGCGATAGCGCCGGACGTCTGTGCGATACTAGATTGAAATAGATCACGGCGGCTTTTATTGCTGCGGTGTTGCTGTATACTGGACACCGTGACGAATCCGATACGTGTGATCTTGAACAGGCCACGGCAGTTTTTCAGCGTTCAATGCAGGGAAAAAGTACACACACGAATATGAAAAATGCACTCAATGAAGGAGGGAATCTTTTGAAGCGAGGTATACTTTAGGTGAATTGTTTGGGGATATAGTAGAAAATTTAGGTTATTCAGCAAGTGCTGCTCATTTACTTCTTTTTAATATACATAAAGGGCGTCAAGGTGTGTTGATAGGTGTACCGAAAAAAAAGTGAAATTTTTCTTCAATGCAGTTATCAAAAGCTTATCCGCATAATGGGTACCGTCCTGCTATAATACGCCTTTAAAAAGATACGTACAAAACCTAAAAATTTACCAACAATTTATACCGGAAACTTCTATGTAGAAGGCGATGAAGTCGCGACTCACGAACTCCCTCCCCATGTCCATCCGGAAGGAGCGGGGACAACGGAGGGGAGCTCGTGAGGCGCGAATTTCATCCCACTGTTTTTCGGTAGGTCGTAAATATAAAGCTTAGCGCTCTTGCCTCATGCCCCAACCAACCACCTTTTCTGGACCGTCGTCTCCAAAACTCCAGAAGCACGGCGCAGTCGGAGAGAGACGGCGAAGACTTCGTGGTGAACCTGGAGACTTTGAAGAGAGGGAGTTCCTTCGGCGAGGCGGAGCTGCTGGCCGCTGCCGAAGCCGAGGAAGGGCTCGCCGCCGCCGCCGCCGCCCTCAAGCACCGGCAAAATTCCCAGAAGACGGAGCGGCTCAAGTCGATGGGCAGGGCGACGGCGGCCAAGCAGCAGCAGCAGCAGCCGAAGGAGCCTGCGGGGATGCTCGTGTCCGCGGCGGGGGTCAGTAGCGAGGGTGTTAAGCCGACGGCTATCGCCGTGGAGAAGTCTCTGCCCGCGAGAAAGAGGACGCCGGGGGAGGAGTACGGCAGGGGGCCGGCTAGGGGGGGGGGAGTGGCGAGGGCGGTGAGGGCGGTGTGCGTGTCGGAGGAGGACTGCGAGGTGATGGCAGTGCCGCGACATCTGTTCGCGAACCTGCTGGACGAGCTGGGAGGGGTGCGGCGAAAGCTCGAGGGGCAGGTCAGGAGGCAGGAGTGAATGAATTAATGAATGAATGTATAAGTTATCCTTTGGCTCTCTCTCTCTCTCTCTCCTCCTAGGAAGTGTACACAAACGAAACTCTCTCTTTTTCGTACAAAATGTACACACAAACGAAACGCAGGAAGAATACAATACCCGCTCGAGATAAAGCCACTCGACTCGGCTGTTGTTGCCGGTTTGGTGTGGTCTCGGGTGTTTTGGGGCCGATCGGTAGAGTGGTATTTTGGTTAGGAACAAGTGTTGGCCTGCCCTTCGGGAACAAGCAGCAAGATGAAGTTGAGTTTTGACGTGGTATTTCTGTCGTCGAAGTCGCTCGTGGAAGGGTGTGCAGCGGCCGGCACACGCCCGATTTGTCTGCTCGTTTTTTTTTTGGCGCGCGAGGAATAGAGGAAGAGCGCCCGTAGCCACGAGATCAACACCGGAGAGAATGCCGGCCTCGGAGACTCAGCTCTCGGAACGTCGTACAAGATGCCACGTCCACGCCCTTACGTTTGTTTGTCGAAGGAACTGGCGATGACTCAAGAAGATTGATATTTGCCATGAACGAACAGAGACCAGTGCCTCTCTCGAACGGTTTCGAAGAGCCCATTTCGACGGCGCACGTTTGGACATGCCGTTTTTTGTTTTTTCGATGCGAGTCTGTGGTGTAGCGTATCGAACCGTTCCAGTGTAAGGTGTGCATAAAGCATTATCTCATGGCCCCTCACTCCGATCTGCTACAATAATACCGATCTACACACCCCGACACACACAGGCGAAAGCGCGAGCGGCGAGAGGACTGAACCGTCTCATCGAAGAAAACACCCTCCCGGGGAGCCGCGAGAAGTTGGTTCCCGCGTCCACCGACGTCTGGCCTCCGCCCACCCCAAAGGGCGGCGGCGGGCGAGACTTGGACGCGCCGGACATGAGCGGCATCTCGGGCAGCAGCGGGATGGGGGAGACGCGGAGAGTGAGCCGGAGGGACGCGCCGACGGTGCTCCTTTTCCGGGAAGGGTCGGCCGCGGTGACGCTATCGGACGGCACGAGGATGAAGGTCGGGGCAGGTGAGCGACAGGGAGCCTAGGTTGGGGCGAGTGTGTGTGTGTGTATTGTGTGGCTCTTTGGTTGGTCTCTTGAGAGAGCGGAACTGGCTCTGGTGTTTTCTGCGTGACTAGGGTGGTGTTGGGGTGGTTGGTTGACTGACAGTTCCGTTGGCCGGGAAGGTCGGGCAAGACTGAACATTGCTGTTTTTGACACTGCCTGCCGCTCGGCTGGACCTGGTCGCGATGTAAGGCATATCGGAGTCGTCCATGGTTGCGTAGTCGTGTGCGCGCAAACTCTTGGGGTACGGTTTGTGTTGGTCGGTCGCAGCGCCGGGCCATTGGGAATGGTGGACCTACTGCTGCTGTGTTGCTGTGGTGTTTGCGAAGAGCGTCAGTTCGGAAGCTTCAGCTTCCCTCTTTCTAGTCACGACTTGGAACTGGCGTCTGCTGTTCTGTTTCGCGGGGATTAGGTCCCCCTCCTCTGCCCCGAATATGGCAAGCTTGACCCCCTCCTCCTCACACGGCCACCCCCTCCGCCGAAACCCAACACCACCCAAAATTATATGAACTTATTTGTCTACAGCTCAACCTCTCCCCCCCCCCCCCCCCCGAAAAAAAGGTGAGGTGCTCGTCTGCGGCGTACCGAGGAGGGGCATTCCCCGCATCACCAAAGTCACCTCCGACACCAAGGCGAAGGTGGTGGAGGTGCCGCTGGAGTCCTTCCGAAAGGGAGGCCTGTTCTCCTCGCCCGCCGCCCTCGACGCCTTCTTGCGCGTGCTGAGTGTCGGCTTCCACGACGTGAGCGAATAATTGTCTCGCCGGGTCTCGGGCAACGGTCGGCCGGACGCGTCCGTCCGTCCGTCCGTCTTTTGGGGGGCTCCGGCGCGTTTTTGCGCTTGCTGAGCGTGGGGCTTCCATGGACGTTGAAGCGAAAATTCTCGATCTCGGCGACAGGCGGAGGCGAGTGCGTGTGTGCGGTTTCCAGGAGCCGGGGTACGACCACAGCGTCTGCTTTGCGGACGTCGTCGCCCCCCCCCTGGAGTCAAGCGCGCGGCTGTTGTACCCTACCACGTTGCGTCGAATCTGCGGCATCCGTTCTAGTGTCGAAACGGCAGACTACGAAAATGTCTGGTCGAACCGAAAAGTGTGTACTGCTTTGTGGTAAGCAGCAGGAGCTGGTCTTGGAGGGAGGAAGGCTTATATGGCGGGAAAGAAAATTCTTGTTTTTTTTTTTTTTCGGCGGCGGCGGTGGCAGGCGGCGGCCGTTTCGTCTTGGACACGAAACGGCCAACACTGAACCGGCACATACATGAGACCCTCTCTCGAGACTACTCGAGCGCTGTGCCTGGTTGATGATTGCGGAGGGCGGGAGAGGCAGTCGACCGAGCAGGGAGCAAAGAGAGCATAATAGCCGACCTGAATGCGAAGGCGGCGGTTAGCCAAGGCGGCCGGCTTCAAGTGTGACGGCAAACTGTCCTTTCAGCGAGAAGGCGTTATTGGGCAGGAAGGACACCACCAGTTGAAAAGAGAGAGAGGGAGAGAGAGAGAGAGCCGCGGCTATGTTAAGCCCACGTGGCGGCGGCGGTGTCGTAGCGAACCAAACTAGTTGGACGTACTACTTTGAAGCAGCACTTGGGGGGGGGGGGAAGGGAGAGAAGCAGTGGCAAGGCGCCCGCTCGGCGAGGCTCACACGAAAGGGGCAAAGCGAAGCGGACCGAGGCCGTGGCTGTTCGGGCTGGTGGCTTTATTGTAGTCTTTCCTGAGCGCGTTGGCCTGCCCAGGAGGTCCTAGAAAACGCGGGTTGCCGGGGTTGTTGGGGTCGTTTCCGGGAGCAGTGATACGAGAGAGGCCTACAGGAGGAGTGGGGGGAAGGGATGACAACAGCATGTACAGGTTAAAGCACACCTTGTATTCAGGGTGGATGACGACGATACGGGGAGGCGGGGTGGGGGTGATGGTGGTGGTAGCGGAGGACAACACGACGTGCGCGCGTAGATAGTTGTTGAAACCCCGTCCTCTTTAGTGTTTTCGCTTTTTAGATCCGCGATGATGGGCTTGTTTTTGAGGCAGTTCCTCATGGGGCTGGCTGTGTCCGGTGTTCGTGCGTCAGACAGAGCAAAGAGAATGAAGGCGAGGCACCCCTTTTTGCATGGCGCACGTGTTGCCCACCACCATGATGCCCGAGCAAGGCCCAAGCCGGTGTGCATGCGTTTTTTTTTTTTTTTTGATGAAGAGAAAAGAGGTCGGAGAGGACTAGACTTGAGTCCGATCAAGCGGGGGTATACACACAGATACAACCGTTGTACGGCGCGTTTGTTTTGCTGTGTTGTTCCCTGTGGTTTGTTCCGGTTCTTCGGGAACTTGTGGGACCCCGCTGCTATTCTACCGCTTTTTTTTTGTTGTTTGTTGGTGTTGCATGTTCTTAGATCAACTCTTTTGGGAGCCCGCGGAGCGAGCGGTGGCAGGGCGCCGATTCTGCTTCGCTGGTCCGGGGTGCGCATTTTTGGGCCCTTCTTTTTTTTGTTAGTTTCTTGGTCCCCTCTCAGCGCTTGGAAGAGCCGCGTGTAAGTTGTGGCACCCGCGCCAACTTGCCATAGCTTTGGGAAACGTACTACTTTTGGTATCGGAAAATCGGACCATTTCTTCACTGCTTTCTCGGGGAGTTCGATTCGAGTGGGGAGGCCGGTGTTGATGTAGCAGGCAAGAGCAAGGGCGGGGCGGACGGAACCATGAATGAAGACAGAGAGATTGTGAACGGTTGCGCTGACTCGTGGGAGGTGATGGGATACTGTGCAGGTACAGACAGACATGAGGCGGTGGGTACGAAAGTTGCTCCGCCTTTCTTTGCGTGCGTACGTACGTACGTACGTTGTCGGGAATAGGTAAAGCAGGAAATAATGCGTTCGTTCGCTGTACGTATTTCCTTCATGATGAAATGGTGAATGTCGCAGCTAGCTGCGGGTGAGAAAAGACGCGTATATTTTAAACTTGTTTGGTAGGAATTTTTTATATGTTTTCTAGACAACAAAGTAAAAGGAGGGCGGGGGGGATTTTTTCGTTGTTCTTGTTTGGTGCGTTTTTGTCGCCTCTCCAAGCGCTCCTACTTTCTTTCATTCCCCCCGTCCCATCAGGGTCGGTCGTATTTTTGTGGTGGTTGGATGATGGGCATGTGTGATGTGTGCTGCTGCTGCTGCTGCTGTCAGGACTTCCTTGGTTGCTTGCGCCTTTTAGGCGGGAGAAGTTCTAATATTAGGTGGTGTTGTTTTTTGACGCGCGAATACAGACGACGAAGAAAAAAAAATGAAAACTGCTGGTTGCCTTGGTCATAGGGTTTGGTTGGTGTACATTCTGTGGGCTTGTCGACGTGATTTCAGCGCCTATTCGGGTTCTGTCACTCATGATGATGATGAACGTTAGGCGGCGAAGTGTGGATAAAATACAGCGCCCGTGCGCAAGATGAACGATCAATCGATTAGTTCTTTTTTGTTTTCTTGCTCTCGTCTCGAATTTCCACGTCCAGCCCGACACATATATATAAATAGATTGCCGTGTGCCCACGGCTGCTTCCCCAATTGATTTTTACTTCATGTGCCGTTTGTGTCCTTGTGTGCGATGGCGTCACACGAAGAAAGGCACTACTACTACTACGTTTTTTAGGCGGTTCCCGGTACTTGCTTCGTTTTTTGGTAATACTTTTTCCTCAGTCACCCAATATGACGACGGTACATACATACATTTATTATATGGCGGTTGCCGGCACTTGAACTTTTGGCGGGGTACTTTTTCGGCGGTCACGCAATATGACGATAATTTTTCGGCGGAATGCGGAATTTCGTTTTTCGACGATACTGCCTTCGGCGGCTGGTTCCCGGTACCACCGAAACGTGGTGGTAAATTCCCGGGGATATTTCCAGGGTACACGTCGGGAAAATTCCCGGGGGGTTTTTCCCGCCGTTGTGGGCGGTCCCGGAACTGTTTCGATATCTATTTCCGGTTGCATTGCGTGCGCGTCAGGTCGTCGTCTGTCTCAACTTGTTCGCGCGAAAAAGAAGTCAAATTAGTCATGGTCTCCAATAACAATAACAACATTAGTCCATCTAATAATAATCCATAGACTGCGGGGTTGGTCCATGGATTGGCTCTCCAGGAATCGTAAATAAACCTGTTCTGTTCTATCTTCCGAAAATTACTCTGAGAGAAAATAGTCTGAGAGAAGAGGGGAGGGAGCGTCCAGAAAAAAAGCGGACCGCCGATGGACGGTCAGCGCGACTACAACAACACATACATGTCAACTCCGCCGAGTGCGTATCGGACCTTGCCGAAAACAGCAAGTAAAGTGCGGCATCTACTACATTGAACCGACAAAGTCCAACCCTAACTACCTAAAACACCGACCAAAACCAGCAATAATAGTAATAAATAGTCGTCCTGTAGAGGCTTGAAAACTAGCTAGCATGCTCGGCCGGAGGGTCTCGCCCGAGCGCTCCCGAAAGAACAAACAGCCGCGACCGGCCCTGAACGGAGAGAGAGGGCACTTCTCAGAACGCCCATCATCCATCCATGCGTGCGTGTGGCCCCACATATATATATTATATATAGTGGCAATTTCAATCATATTAGTGGAGGAACTGCCCATCCATCCATCATCCATTTCGTGTGCCTGCGGACAAAAAAACGACGACTCTTGGTTTTAGTATGAACAAGGGCGATCGACGGCGACGATCGACGGAGCGACGGTGGCGCGATCGACGAAGAAGGCGGCCCAAGGCCACCCGATCGATCGACCGACCGACCGACCGACCGACCCTACCCTACCCTACCCTACCCTACCCAAAACCCAACCCAACCCAACCCAACCCAACCAAACCAAACCCAACCAAACCAAACCAAACCAAACCAAACCAAACCAAACCAAACCAAACCAAACCAAACCAAACCAAACCAAACCAAACCAAACCAAACCAAACCAAACCAAAAACAACCCAACCAAACCAAACCCAACCCCCCCGAGACCAAACCCAGCCCGTCAACCCGACCTAATCCAACCCGACCCAACCCAATTTATTCAACCCAACCGGATACGGTCGGTCGGGTAAAGACGAACCCATCAACACCTACCTACTGTAGAGCAAGAAAACAATCCCCAAAATCCGCCCGATCCCAAGCGAACCGACTGCAACATGCAGGGCGGCA